CCCCATCAGGAGACCAGAACCTGGTTTAGTTCTGACTCTGGGCCCCAGCAGGAGATCAGAACCTGGTTCTCAGAATCCAAGCTGGTTCATACGGCTCTAACATGTCAGAAAGGTATTTTGGTTCTTGCCCATGAAGAGAATTGTACACCAGCAGAGCTGTTTTAGAGTCTATTCTCTGAGGGACAGAAAGCCAGAGGAAAGACCTGAGACCTGGACTGATGTGGTCCTATTTCCTGGTTCTGGTCAGAACTCTAGCAGCAGCATTCTGGATGTTTTTCAGCTAGCTTACAGCTCGTTTAGAGAGTCCAGTGAGCACGATGGATGGTGGGTGATCACGTGCGACCCACCTGCCACTGTCACAGCTCTCAGGTCGCCTCTCACACTAAAACCTCTCTGCCTCCCCCTTGTAAATAATAAATAAGGGGGAAGAATCCCACACGATGAGGTCGTGAATCCCGGCTTCAGGATCTGAACGAACACGATGGGAAACACAGCTTTGCTTTTATCTAAAGCTGTCTAAAGCTTTTCCTCTTCCCCGCTTTTTCATCCTTGATAATAACCTTTAGCGTCCAAACCTGCCATGAATACGCATCCTCTGTTATTGGTGTGTGGACATAAGGGGATCAATGGGGATTTAACGGATCTGCTGAGTCTGAACATGCTTTTTTGTGTGTGTATGTGTGCATGTATTCACCTCGGCGAGCCTTATCACCTTTCCTTTTTTTAATCCTTAGGGCAAAAAAAATCCTGCATACGTGGAATTTTTGTGTGCATCTCTGTCAGCGAAGTCTTAGATTACTTGTGGGGTCGATGCGGGATGGGCCCAGAGCCCAGCGAGCATCGGGCGGGTCCTATTTTAAGATTCGTGTCTTCAAAGATCTGCGGTGTTGGCCGGAGAGTCCTGACGGCTTTCTGCTTTGCTCAAAAGCAAAAGAAATTATCTCTTTTTCCCTTGTTAACAAGTCCGTGTGGTTAGTTTTGGGCTGCAAAAGCAGAAAATCCCTGTTCAAGCCTCTGTGTCTTACCCAAAGGCACCAAGACATCAATGAGATTTGGAGATGTCAATGAGATTCATCCAACACTTTGAGGTCTTTAAAGCGATGGATCATGAGCTGTTTCACTCATGTACAGCAGGTTTAGTTCATTATTTCCACATTTATAGGCAAGGTAAGTTTATTTATAGAGGACATTTTGTTCTAAAGCCAACTCAAAGTGCCTCAGTGTCAAATAAAACCACAAAAGGCTAATAAAAACATTCAGTACAACAAAATAAATCATCATTGATACTCAGAATTAAAGCAAAGACTTGCTAAAATAAGCTGTTTTCAGCCTGGATTCAGTCAGTCTTCAGGAAGACTGTTCCACGTTTTAGGAGCGTAACCGAAAGCCTCTCCATGTTTGCTCTGGACTCTGTTTCTAACCCGTCCGCTGATTCTCACTTCAGATCTTTGTGCTTCTCCCAAACTAGAACTTCCAGGCCCTGCCAAGGCAGCCGCTTCAAGTCAGAAAGAAGCAGCACGTCCATGGTGAGCTCCCACCTTCTGAACAGCACACAAACCCAGAGAAAAGGGAAGAAATCTGTCCTTCTGCCACATGTCCGAGCATCAACTGTTTTACTGACCGCATTTCCACCTTAACAGACACGATAGAAAACCAGCCAACATGCTCAAAACACAAGATTGCGAGACAAATATCTCCTCGGTTTGAGATTCAAAAGTAAAGTGTGAGAGATACATTAATCCTTAGATACAACAAAACATTAAGATAAAATAAAATAAAATAAATAACAGCATTACTTAGTCACCTGTTCTGTACTTCTGTCTGTTAGAGACCAGCATATTTAACCCACCTTTTAGTGAATGTGTTTTTTTTAAGTCGGAGGAAGAAGGTGATCCTTTCCATAAGGTAAATGTCATTTACAATACTTATCCACTCCTGTATTGTGGGGGGGTCAGCGTCTTGTGAGTGCTTTTTTTCTAGTTTTATGTTGGCAGTTTGTTGTATTTTTATTAGCAAAGGGCTCGTTTTATGGTCATCTGACAGGAGGGGCGGGGTGTCGGCATCCTGCCAACACGAGAAACTAATTTAAGGTGAAAATGCCAGAGAGGATGATCACAGCCAGCACGGATGGGATGGTCCTTTTTTATGTTAGCCATTAGAAAATTAAAGCCTCCGGAATGAAGGCTTAAAGGAAAAGTCCATTATGGGAGTCAGGAGATCCAGAGACTGATCTGAGGGACTAAATAACAAGAGAAACTGTCATAAAAGAGAGAAAAATGATCAAATATGTCCCTGTTTTTATGTGGAGGGCATCTTCTGAAACGCTTGCCTTCATAAAAGTGTCTTAAAGGAGACATATTATACTCTATTTCAACAAGTTAAACTAGTTCCCTGGTGTCCTAATGTAATGTCTGTGACAAGCTTTGGTCAAAATCCCATAAGGATGAAGCCCAATAGCAGTTCAGTCCCCCTGCCTAACCCTAACCCTAACCCTAACCCTAACCCAAAACAGCCCCGTTCAGAGCGCTCGCTTTGGAGTGCCTGTCTCTTTAAATGCAAATGAGACACAGGCAATCCACCTACTTCTTCAGGGAGGTGTGCCCACGTCGGCACGCTAACGCTACCATGCTAACGCTACCATGCTAACGCTACCATGCTAACGCTCACGCTACCAGGACGTCTGCCACAGATAGGGGAGTAAGCTGAGAGGGGGGGGCAACATGCAGGTGAAAGGCTGGAATATTATAATGAGCTAGAGCTAATGACGTCAGAAACTACCCACTCCTGAAACCTCCTGATTTATCTCCTGGATTCAGACTGAGGCGGCCCACAAAAACATGACGAGACATTTTTTCACACTTTTCCTGCTGATAGGCCCTCCACAGTCCCAAATGTACATAATCAAATGATTAAAAACTTGGTTTTGCATAATATGTCCCCTTTAAGAAGCCTCATGAAGAGAGTGAATCAGAGATCGGAGCCGAGTTTGTTTATTTCTCCCAATTAATTATTCCTTGGGTTAAAAAAACATATATAGTTCTGATGAGACCCAAAGAAAATGTGGACGTTAATAAGTCAAATAGTCAGAGTCGGCGGTGATCAACAGAAGAACAAAGCAACAATAAGAGGGGAAAATGAACAAAAAGGGGACTTTTTTTTTTACAGAACAGCAGCTCCCAGATGAGGCAAAGCAGGCACAAACAAAACAGAGCACAGAAAATAGCCCAGAAGTTTGTCAAACGAGCATTTTCCCCAATCGTCCTCATTCAAATCAAGAAGCCCCATGAAGAGACTGAATCAGAGATCAGAGCAGAGTTTGTTTCTTTCTCCCTATTAATTATTCCTCGGGTTAATAAGAACAGTGTAAATGTTCTAAAGAAGAGAATAGAACAA